CACTCTGTCATTCAGCTTTCTATAATCTACACAGAATCTGATCCACATGTCCTTGGGTACCAGCACCATGGGTGAGGTCCATGGACCATTTGAACTGCTTAATCACCCCCAGTTCCAACATGTCTCTGATTTTTCTTTTTCCATGTTCTGGGCTATTTCCCCAGCAACTCCAAAAGGTTACATCAAGTAGGAGCTTTTTCTCCAGCCAATTATCTGGCTAGCAAGACGGAGAGTACAGCAGTTAAAAAGTGATGTGGGAAAGGACTGGACTCTGCTTAAATTGCTTGCTGTGCATGGAACTTCGTGCTCCCATCAGTTCACATTTATCTCCATCTTAATCTCCGAATTGTCTGGCTGTGTGTCGTCCAAATATTAAAATACACTTAATGCAACCAGATTAATTAACAAGCCATTTATGGTTGCCAGTTCAGACAAAGTTCTCACTTTTAGTACCGCTCTGATATTTTGCTCTCCTGACATGTTTGGAATTCTCCGGTGGCATCAGTACAAGAATTGCCCCTATAGGGACAGCAGAATATGAACACGGAGCACTGTATTACCATGCTGCTCTGTGAGGAGACCGTAGTAATAAAAGCAAAATTAAAATACACAATCAGGAAATGTAGGAGTCTTGACTTTTACAATAACACTAACTCCATCGCATTTGAATACATGCAGTATTTTATATTCCAGTTTTCCTTGATAAATGTCTAATTGAATACATATTGGGTCATATGTGTAGCTGGTGTAAATTTGGCATAGCTCCTTTGTTTTCTGTGGCGCTATACCAATTGATACAATCTGAGGATCTGGCCCATTTTTATGGTGATAAATCTTTAAATACACAGGATGTGCAATATGCCAAGTTAATGTTGTTGTAGAGCAACAACTTAATGTTTGCATTTCCTGTTTCTCTTTTTTAAAAAAATTGACGTGAAATCTTTACATTCCAATTCATTTTTTCCTCACTTAATTTCATAGACTTTTTTAAAAGTTGGGGTTGGGAGAGGAAAGCTTAAACTGCACTGCTGCCAACTATCTGGGGCAACAGACGGTTTTCTTGGAAGTACTGCTCTGGTAAAGTGCAAAATACTAACTAGTGATTCTTCGCTTGTGCTTCATGCTACACTGCAAGCTAGAGATTGGATTCCCCTGTTGGGGTGGGTGGGGGCGTGCGCACACACACACGCTCTGTGGGAACTATCCACTTCAAGGTCTGTTTGTTCAGCTATGCCAGAGCCCATGCTACTGTGGCTACGCTGCTCTTTATACTCACGCAAACTCATCAAGCTACCGCAAGTATGTTCACTTGAGCAGAGGAATCCTGCCTGTATCCTGCCTATCCCAAGAGGAGCTGCCGCATATGTGCATGCACATGCATCCTTGTGGGGGGCCAAATCCTGACTTGTGTAAATTGTCATTGCTCAGCTGAAGTCAGTGGAGCTATGACCGCTTTCTCAGTTGGTGTATCTAACCTGTGTGTATAGTGAATTATATTAGATTTCACCTGAAATGGCGAGACTCTGAATTTCTAAGCAATTCTTTCCAGTTCTGCTCTTAAATGGGTAGAGTTCAGTGCCCACATCTCTAATGAACAGAGACTGCATCCAAACCAGAGGCGATTTAAACATCTGACACAGATCTGAAAACTTCAACTAATCCAGTTTAAAAAAAAAATAAATGTATGGCTGGGGGGAACCTTTTGTTTTTGTAGATTGAGGATTACACTGCAGGTTGGCATTCCTACAGTATTAACTTAATTAAGCAGGAATGTGATGCTGCATTCCTGGACTGAGGGGAGGACTGCCACAATTCCAGGCTACACTGAGACAAGTGGGGGAGAAATAAGAAGGGGAAGGGGCGGGGGGTGGGGAGGTCACTTGTTGTTCAGGCTCTTTATGAAATTTTGAAGTTGGGCACATGTACTTAAAATATCACACATGCTGTTCAGAAAAACCTATTAATTATCATTTGAACATAGTTGTCTGTATTGCCCTAACCTGACCAATAAGATTAAATTGTGACCCAAGTTATAGGTACTCTGAAATTATGGCTTCTTGTGGGGTTTATCTCTGCTGCTGTTTTATGCCCTGTCCAGGCTACAAGTCTTAACAATGTCTGTAACGCTTTTCCATTATAGTTGACTCCAAACATGGTTGGTGTATAGATGTGATGTGGCTAAAACTCTTAGGAGCCATGGCCATCTAACAGTGTTTCAACCTTGCCGGAGGCCTAGGTCTTCCATGGTTGTGTTCCTGTAATCTGTTCAGCACACTTGGGGACAGGAAGGGGATACTAAATGTGGATGGGACAGTTCTAATCATCTTTGTGTAACTTAACTGCTTTGGCTGCTTCTCCTCTTCCCCAGCTCTGTGACAGATATAAAGCCCCACGTGCTCCTGGTGTTAAGCTGAATGCATGTCCTCCAGGCACTTCCCCCTCCCCTGCTGAGGCAGTGTGGGATACTTGCTCAGATTTTTCCCAGAATGCACTGATAAAAACATGATTGGGCAGCATGTCAGATGCACCCAACACAAGTGTGATGTCAAAAAAGCTGCCACATGGGCACAAACTGACCTATGGAACGTGTGAAGATGAATGTGTCCTACCCGGTTCCAAACCATGGTTAAAACCTGTAGTGTGGACAGGGCCTTTACCCACCCCTGAAATAGTTCTAGACACTGCTTAGGTCCACATCTAATGCAGTGTGATATACTGTGATCAGAAATGTTTCTAACAGAGCAGTCTAAAATGAGGAGGGGTAGCCTGTAACAGAGGAGTCATCTGTAATTGCGGGCCCCATGTAGGATAGGATTGCATAGCCACACACATTGCTGCATCATTGTTGCTGCTTGAATTGGCCACATAATTGTGCTCCAGAATACAAACTTTTCGTCAAGTCTCTTGCCCAAGGGTTGCACAGAGACTCTTCAGAGTGAACTATTGGTACTTATGTGATGACAGCCTGAAACAACAGCCCCTAATAGGGGTGGACTGCCTCAAGCATTTCCAAGGGCTGTTGACACTGAAGCCTGATTGGGAATACTTTTAAATGTCATTGTTAACTATTTCACTCCTGTCCTGGTCATCTTAGCACAAGCATCAGCTAAGGTGCTTCTTACGTTGCTGTTAAACGCAGGGGTAGATATTGTGGCGGGAGTGCCAGCCATTTGTGTGGGAAAGAGGAATTCAAACCACCTTTCCTTCATAAATTTAAAATCAATTTTGTGGCTGCTCTCGCCCAAAAAAGGGATGGAAAGATAAGATGCAGCCTCCTAGTGTCAAAATAACAAAACTTCCGTATCTTGTGGCGTGCCAAACCCCCTAATTCTGTCTTCCCAAAACCTCTGGTCCCCCCATCACTGGCAACACCTGCAATGCTACTAAATGCATTTCTGCACAAAAAGCTGTGGCATGCTAAAAGTTTGGGGGCAGCATATAATGAATAGAATTTAATATGAACGTAAATAACGAACAGAAGTTTACTGACTGGGCTAGTTTGCTGGAGGTGAGGGTAAAAGGCAAGGAAACAGGACTCGTGGGGCAGGGGAGTGTTGCTAATTCAGAGGTTTCTGTGACATAATTTAGGGGTCACGTTCTCATAATTAGGGTCTCATGTGCCATCTACAGACAAGACTTCCTGTCATAGTAACGTATGGAACAATGCTGGCCCAGCATGGAGGTTACTTTTTGTATTTAAAAACAAAACACCAAAAACTTGCTACGTCTGTGTTCTTAGCTTGAACTTGTTTGGAAAATAGCTGTGATGTAATCCAGAGCAACACTGAATAACTTTTGAACCATCTTGTGATTTAGAATGCTTCAGTCCATAGGGTAGACAAGGAAAGGACTGTCAGTGTAATCTACTATTCTTTCCACACAGTTGCTGGTTATGCCAATTTGCATTTCCTGTTTTTCCCCTTCTTCAGTTCAGCTTTGAACATCATAAGTGAAAGCTTCAGAGTCTCTTCCACCCTCCATTTCAGGTCTTTCAGGAACAAGCTCTTTTGCTTGGTACTTATGTCATTTGTCAAAACACTCCCCCCCGGAGCGAGACCAGGGAATAGTGACTAGTCACATGTGCTCAGCTGAAATTACCACTGTAGCCTGAACTACTCAAAGTCTTCTCTTGAAGACTTGAGAAGGGTCTAAAATGTTTTCACTAGCTGAATTTGTTTTTGATACTTTCGTGCACAGTGTCACTTACAAAATAACCAGATTTTTGAAAGGCCCACAAAGTGATTCAAGACAGTAGTTGTCCAGATGGCCTCCCTTCATCCCCCGCCACCTACTCTCTTAGCTGGAGAACATTCCAACAATTCATGGCAGGCCAAGTTCCTCCATTTCCAATCCAGTTGCTCTAACTGTGTAAGAAAATTTGGGCAAGAGGGGAGATGAACCAAGCTTTCAGCAGAGTTTGGGCGTGTTGATACATTATAGTGGGGAGGAGTCATCTCTTGTTTTTGTGTGAGGGGGCACAATCAGGTCAGAAATACCTGGAGGGAGGAGACTCTCTGTATCCATTTCATGGGTAGGGGATGGTATGTAACATACCAGCTCTGGTAAGAGGGGAGATTACTGAAGGTTTCCTTTAAAGCCAGTGTTGATCTGTTAATTTGATGGTAAGGTTAGCTCAGCAAGCTGGCATTTCTCCCTTCCATAGTGGGTTCACCTCAAGGAGCAAGTATTGGGCCTGATTGTGCAAGATGCTGAGAAACCTCCACTACTACTCAGCACCTATAGGGGTCAGGCCTGTTTATGAGCTTCCTTCCAAGCCCATGTCCCCAGCAGCATACAGTTGGAAAGCAAAGCCCTGTTTCCCATCACCACCTCCCTCACTGGTGCCTATCTAGTCCTGCTCTGGGGTTACATTTACTATTATTCATGTGCACTGTTGGAAAACTATGAAAACTGTCTCCAAGTACTTGTCAGATGGGAATTTCCATTTCTGAAATAGCCACCATTTCCTACCAGTACCACCTTCTCTCTTTCTCTTTCAGACAATGAATATGTATTTATGGACCTGGAGCAGAAGCTTAGCAAATACTTCTCAAAGGAATGGAAGAAAGAGACTAGCAAAGTAGGTCAAACATGGTTTGCATTTCAGACCTTATTAACTTTGTGATGCTATGATTACACCATGAAAGAGAGGCCTCCAACTGATGACTGTGGAGCACTTGCTGGTGGTCTCTGGCGAGCTCGTTGGTCACATGGAACTGAGTCTCATAATTTCCAGATGCTAAGTTGGATTAAAAGAGGCTAAAACTAAATTAAGTACTTTACACTGCTATATAAGCAATTGCTGTAGTTGCCACCGGGGGGGTGTTCAGGTGCCCATAAAGGGGATGGGAGTCAATGAACCACTCTTTTGAGAGGTTTCAGAGTAGCCGCCGTGTTAGTCTGTATCCATAAAAAGAAAAGGAGGACTTGTGGCACCTTAGAGACTAACCAATTTATTTGAGCATAAGCTTTCGTGAGCTACAGCTCACTTCATCAGATGCATCCAGTAATTGCTCCGTGGAAAGGTTTGAGAACCCCTGCTGTATAAAGCAGAGCAGCTTTTGGGTAAAATGGTTTTGCACGGCCACTTGTAATAACCTGTGTACCATAGTGCATTTGACTATGAAACACAATGGGAGCTGGAGTTGCGATTCAACAGAGGTGTGTGGAAGAACAGCAGTTGTAGGGAGGAAGCGTATTTGTATTAAGAGGAGTCTTGATTTCTTTACACTAGCTGAAATGTCAAGAAAAATCATGTGAAATGAATAAGGCATGTGTCTAGTTGTTTAGTACAAGCCATTCTAAAATAACAGTCTTTTTTTATTAGTAGTTGTCATCTTTTTACATCAAAACAAAATCTTAAGAGTTGAAAGTAACACAAATGTTTTCATTAAACGGCGTTGTTAGGTTCCAGACATGTTTGTACGTAAGTATTGTCTGTTACCGCTCTCTAGGAAGATATTTTGTTCAACAGGTGATTTGCGGTTTCTTTCACCTTAAGAGAGATCACTGATTCCAGCAGTATTCCCCATTTTAACACAGTATAGCATCTTCCAAAAGAGAATAAGCTTTTAAAATGCAACTAATGGAATTTGGTGCTGTGGAACCAGTCAGGGCAGCATGCCTGTGCAGGCATTCATGTGGCCCGCATCACTGTTGTAACTGAGCGCCTTGCAGTTGTTGCACTCACAACACCTCTTCTGAGGTCGGAGTATTTAGATTCTCATCTGTAAAATGGGGATTAGGCCCAGAGAGGCTAAGTGACTTGCCCAAGGTCACACAGGAAATCTGTGGCTGATTATGGAATAGAATCCCGGTCTCCTGAGCCTCCCAGTCCAGTGCTGTGTTGGCTAGCTCCCTTCTCCTTATCCCTTCATTGACAACAAAATGGCATCATTGTGCACTCTGCAAAATGATTGTGTTGTGACTGGATTTTTTTTTTTAAATGAATTCTTTGGCAATGTAGTTGTTACTGTTTGGTACCATAGGTGTGCTTGACACATTATGTATATTAGGAGATGGATCTGTGACCCAGCACATGCTTGGACCTGCTTATGTAAGTGAAGTTACATACTGACCAGACCTCAAAATAGACAAAGCAGAGAAGGGAAGGAATGCGAGACTTTAACTGTGTCTTAATTTTTATTGAAAAATAGATATTTGGTGCTCAGGGGACCTCCCCTGTAAGGGAGGTCACAGTTTAAACAAAAAATCTTGACAGTGTTCTTTTAAACATCTGTAGTTGTAGTCTGTGAAATTGACACAGTGTCTTGGTCTTCCTCGAGTTCATGGCTACATGAAGGTGTGAATAACCAAAGCAAAGGGTTCACCCTGCTAGCCCCAAGAAAAATGATCAGTAGCAGCGGAATGGCTCAGCCTTGGTCAGGAAGGGCTGAGCGTATTGCAGAGGTAAAAGGTTGTCTTTTCCTGAGAGTGGGGCTGAGGGCTGGCGGCATAGGGTATAAGAAGGTAGGAGAGCTTGGATGCTTCATTTGTGTCTTGCCTTGGCCGAATGTTTCATAGTGTCTCATTGATAAGAGCTTCCAAGACAACTGCTGTACGGCTAAGTGTAGTGAATTTAAAAAAAAAAAAGAAAATGCGGGGAGAGGGTCTGGAGTGGGGAGCAATGGGCAAAACACAGAATAATGAGGAAGATCATGAGCCTCTGGGCTCACAGGAAAATTGTCTAATGCTTCCTTTTTTTTCCTCCCTTTACCCTAAAGGGGACAGAGAAGTTTACCCCTCCTTTTGTTGCCTTCTTCAGAGTGCAGTACTACGTAGAAAATGGAAGAGTCATAAGGTAAATCTGTCTAGGGTAACAAGTTTATTTTTTAATAAAACTGCGTTAGATGGAAAAACAAAAATATGTCCTTTGAAGAGCTCTTTCCTTCTCTCTGTGGGTGCTGTAGTCCTACAGGCATTCTCTGGAGATCAGTACTGATGTCTGTCAGTACATCCTTTTATCCAAAGGAGTCGACTTCCATCCTGGTAGGATTCAAACTGAGATGCTTTTCAGCTATCTTTTTAAAGCACCATGCTCCAATAATTTAATGTTGTTGTTGTTTTTTAATTGTTTTGCATCTAAACAACTCTAAGGCTGAAGTTAGAGAAGTTATTACGAAATTAACAGTGAGCACCCTCAAGTTTGTTGTTCTGCTGATATGTAATCTCCATTCTGACTCCCATGCTTTGATTTAACTGTTGCTCTTCTTCAAACTCCCCATCCGTTTGCCCACAACAACTGTGGCAGCCTTGTTTTCATATCCTTTCCACACCCTGAACTTCAGTCTACAATATTTTGCCCCTTCCTCCTCCTTGTTCGGAAGGCTTAACTCTTTTATTTCTCTCTCTAGCTATGGATGTAGGTAATATTTATTAAAATGCAGCCAACAAACCTCTGATTGCACGTACAAGATTAAAAAGAAAATTTAGACCAACATTGGCAAAATGATGATAGAAATTGTTACTCTAGGATACAGTCTAGTATTTTTCCTTCGATAATTTATTTTTGGTATTTATTGTATCTGAGCCATGCGCATGCTAGCTAATTTGGATGTGGTCACGGAATGACTTACGAGTTATAGAATTTTACATTTGAGTGGGTTCCATTCATGTGGAATATAGGATGCACGCAACTACCCTTCCCTCCCCATGCAGAACAAAGGATGATTCAGTTAAAAATGAACAACTGACAGTGTTTTTGCATCAGCACTGCTGGTGTGGTTCTGGCCTCAGGGCAAGCCAAGAGCTGGAAGCATTCAGGTTGATTAATGTCAGCATAATCTTTGCTCTATTTAGGCATTTTGCTGTCCTCATCTGAGTAAGACTGTTTTATTTTCCTCTTTGGACTGAGGGGAGAAAGTTTCCCTCTGAGAGGAGGAAGTTTTTCTTACTGCTAAATGGAAACTTCCCAATATTGTTCATCTTCCTCTGGGTATGTCTACGCTGCAATTAAAAACCTACAACTAGGCCATGCCAGCTGACTGTGGCTCGCAGGCTTTGGGCTAACGGACTATTTAATTGTGGTAAAGACAGTCGGGCTCGGGCTGGAGCCCAGGCTTTGGAACCCTGAAGGTGGGAGGGTCCCAGAATTCAGGCTGCAGCCTGAGCCCAAGAACATCTACACTGCAAGTCAGCTGGAACAGGCTAGCTGCAGATTTTTAATTGCATTGTAGATGTACCCTTTGTATCTCTCCATTGGCATCCAAGCTTCTTTCCTCTGCAGTAGTAGTAAAGCAGAGAGAGGTGCACAGAGGCATATCCATGCAATCATGGGGTTTCTTTAAACACACACACTGAATCAGAGTCCTAGAAGGGAGGTCTTGGTTCTGTGACCGGCTATCCATCTATTTATCATATGCTCAATTTCCCTAATAATAGCCCCATTTAGTACTTCTACAAGATAACAAAAGCAAATCCAAGGTTCCTGCCACTATTATCTACCTCCCAGGCAATTCACTGATACAGTAACTTTTCTCGCTTAACGTTGTATTATGTTCCTGAAAAATGCTACCTCAAACGAAATTATGTTAAGCAAATCCAATTTCCCCATAAGAATTAATGTAAATAGGGGGGTTAGGTTCCAAGGAAATTTTTTTCACCAGACAAAAGACTGTATTTTATTTTTATATATATATACATACATACACAGTATAAGTTTTTTAAACAATTTAATACTGTACACATCAAAGATGATTGTGCAGCTTGGTTGAGGTGGTGAAGTCAGAGGGTGGGATATTTAGCAGTAAGGCATTCCCTGGGAAATGATGAACTAGCATTCGACTGAGCCCTTAAGGGTTAACATGTTAATGTAGCCTCACATTCTACAAGGCAGCACGGAATGGAGGGAGGGGAGACAGCATGGCAGAGAGAGACTGTGTGTGTGTGTGTGTGTGTGTGTGTGAGAGAGAGAGACACACGCATTGACCCCACTCTAAGTACATTGCCTTTAAGTAGATCAGCAAGTTGAGACAGTAGCTGCTGCCAGCAAGCTGCCTCCTTCCTGAGCCCTGTTGTGCCCACCCCCCCACCCTCCCCTGCTCTGTGGGAATGGGTAAAAGAGCAGGGGGCAGGAGTGGGGGACCTGCTGACATTAGCACCCCTCTCCCCCACCACTCTCCCTTGCACAGCAAGCAGGAGGCTCCTGGGAGCAGCTCCAAGGCAGAGGGCAGGAGCAGCACATGGCAGTGGGGGAAGGGACAGTTGAGCTGCCCGGCAATGGCAATTGGTAGCCTGCTGGGCTGCTGCCGCAGAGGGAACTTAGGGGAGCGGGGGGCTGCTGGCCCACCCTGGTTCCAAGCCCCCACCACTAGCTCCAACTCTGTTCCTTCTGCAAGCAGTGGACAAAGCAGGCAGCTGCCAAACAACGTTATAAGGGAGCATGGTGCAACTTTGAATGAGCACGTTCTCTAATTGATCAGCAACGAAACGATGTTAACCGGGACAACTTTAAGTGAGAGTTACTGTATTGTAAAGCACTTTGAGAGCCTCAGCTGGAAGGTGCAATACAAAAGCAGTGCCAGTTCTAGAGAGGAAGGATGGACTTTTGGTTGAGACACTGGACTGGGACTCAGGAGATCTGGGATCCTTTCCTGGCTCTGCCACAACTTCCTGTGTGACTATTGGCACTTAATCGCTCTGTGCCCTAGTTCCACCTCTCCCAGAAAAAGTGATCATATGAGTTCCTTTCTTCAACCTTTGTCTATTTGGATTGTTTAGACTGTAAACTTTTGAGGACAGAGACTCTTATCTACTGTGTACAGTGCCTAGTGCAGTGGGGCCCTCATCTTGACTGGGCCTGTGATGCTACTATAATTCAGAGAGTAAATGGCTATGAAAAAAATGCAGTTTATACACATCAGTGATTCCGTGCGTGTCAGTTCTCGACAGCGAAGCAGCAAGCGACTGGCCTTACCTGAATGTGATCTCTTTGCTCTGGCTTAAATGCGGCTTTTTTCTGTCTCCTGCAGTGACCAGGCAGCCCGGCACCTGTACTACTGCCATCTCAAGGAGCAGTTGTTGAGGTCTCGGTGCCTCCACAAAGAAGAAATCTACTTCCTGCTGGCTGCGTACGGTTTACAGGCGGACTTCGGCAGCTATATGGAGAATGTCCATGTTGGGAAATATTTTGAACCTCAAGCCTATTTCCCACAGTGGGTAAGTTTTCACCATGAGAATGAAGCAGAATCGTCTGCAGTGGCAGCAGGGACTCCCCAGGCTCTGTTGCTGTACGTGGAATGAATCCAACAGGGCTTTTTCTCCACTGAGGCTTCTGTTCTTCCCAGTCTGAATCCAACAGTTAAAGGGCAAATATTTTCAGAAATAAAATGCATTGAAATGCATTTGCTTTTGCATCCTAAGATTCTCTGGAAAAGCTCAAGGGGCTGAAGACGAGTAAAACTTATCTTCAGTACCTTGGCCCTATCACATTTACCTCTGGGGTGGACTGAGCTCAGTGCAGGGTGGCAGTACATGAGGGTCAACACCAGTTGGTCAAAACGGAGAGAAAAGGATACCTTGGTGACTTCTCATTCTGACTTGACTCAGCTGAGAATTTCATTATAATCCCTCTGGGTATGGTTTTTTGGCCACTAATTGGTCTTGAGTCACTTGTGTCTCATTGTCCAGTGCTTCTAGTATGTACTTTAAAGATTTCAGTTTCCACACTCCATTTTTACAGATTTTTGGGGTGTTTGGGGACGGTTTGGTATCCTTTTTTTAACCCTTTATGGTGACTAACTTTGCCTGAGGGCAATGACTGAACCAGTCACGTGTCTTCTGGCCATTCAGTATCTTTGGAAAGAGCGCACAAACATGCAATGTGCAGACTGCTTCCTGCACCATTTCCTACTCTGCTGTTACGCATGCATGCAAAGTCAACCACCACAGTCAGTGAGAATGCAAGTAAATGACCGAGGTAGAGGATGATGCTCTGGACTAGGAGTCAGGAAGCCAGGGTTCTACTGGCTCTGCCTCCAACCCGCTGTGTGTATCCTTGGGCAAGTCTCCTCACCTCTCTGCCTCAGTTTCCCCTCCAACCCAGCTGTTTCCAAGCATCAGGGAGGGGAAGTGTTCAATGGAGAAGAAACGAATGGCATCAGGAGGCAGGTGTGGCAGAGGCAGGGCAAGTCTGGACTTTTATACTCATGAGCCCCAAGCTACTTCTCCTCCCACTGTGCACAAATACTCCCTGATTCCTGGCAGAATTCTTCCCACTGGACTCTCCTCCACACCCTGGAAACTGCAGCTCCCAGATGATATACACCTGGAATTATGTAGTTTCCAAAGGGTTTAAAAAGGTGAGTCTGACAGAGACTGTTATAGGGCGGCTATCAATCTTTTTTTAATCTTGCAAACATTGCAAAGGCCAAGGCTGAGCACAGCCCTGCTACACTGAGCCACAGCCCCAAGCATCTAGATGATTTATTATTACAGATAGCAAAATCTGGCATCCAGGAGGATGCTTCTCCCCCTGTCCCCAGGGTACAGCAGGGAGACACTGCATGATCTACTTCTTTAGCAGCATCTGGTTCAGATCGGTGGCCGAGGGCTACTGCAACCCAAATAATAATAAATACAAAGGGTGGAGCTGCAGGCTAGCAAGTGGGAAATCTGGCTTTGAACTCTGGACTTGGCTCCCAACTATAGCCTCGTGATGCTGTACAGCTGCTGGCTGATAAGATCAAGAGTGACATTGACAGAGCTCAGCCTTCTTGGTAGGATGATTATAGTCACATGAGGCCTGTGCACAGGGAGAAGCAGGGAGTTTGTATAAGAAGGCAAAAGAAGAGCTTAATATAACTATGGAAAAGACTCTGTTTTGGTCACTGTCCATATCCTTGCTTGGGCAGTTTGCTCCCTATTGAATATTCTCAGGTGCTTTGCACAGTCTAGTTTTAAATGTCCTGCGTAATAGGGCTTTGTGAAGAAGCAAGTTTAGCATAAATTTCCTTCTACCTCTGTTGCAACTGTTCCCAACCCAGCCTCTCCTATGTGGGGGAAGGCTTTAACATTACCCTAGAATACTGTATTATTCTACAGTAACACATGGCTGAGTGGTCTGAGCACAAGACTAGGAGCCAGAAACTCCTGAGCTGTAAACTTTGGCACTCATTGGCCCTGGGCAAATCACTTAACTTTGATGCGAATTTTCCCATCTGTAAAATGGAAGGATAGTAATACTTGCCTACCTCCACAGAGGCAATGGGAGGTGTATTTAGTGTGTTATTGATAAAGCATGTGAAGGTGAACACTGCTAAATAAGCACCATGTGTAATTATTATTGATGCATATATTAGCATTTCTGCAGTGTTTTGGGCCCTGGCTGCAGAATACAGCAGTATTTTAGGTAGTATTAGATAGCTGCCTGTAAGTGTTTAGCAAAACTGAAACCTGGAGAAGAATTGCCAGGACTAGAGAATACAGATATTAAATACCAAAAACGATGGTCTTATTGCACTCAAGTGTTGCATGTTATGATTTTGCCACATACTTAAGGGGGACCTATTCAGAGACATTATTCTCTAGTATCTTTTGGGCAAATTTAAATGCTCACTCTTCAAGGAGAGCGAGAGAGAGAGTTCTGTGAACTTACGTTCCTGGTGGTGGTCAGGTTAACTGGGAAAGAGCTTTCGTTTCCACTCTTGTTTGGTCCTTGCTGTTGACCCAGCTGCCTTCTGTTGGGATCATTGGAAAAAGTGCTGACTGTCTCTTTCCTTTGTGGCAGATAATTGCAAAGAGGGGGAGTGACTATATCTTGAAGCATGCTCCAGAGATGCACCAAGAACAGCATGGTCTGACTGCTAAAGATGCAATCCTGAAGTTCATTAAGGAGTCCTGTTTACTGGAAGATGTGCCTGTCCATTATTACAGATTACAGAAGGTTAAACAAACAGCTGCTTATTTCATCCTTTTGTCAAAGATAAATGCGTTGTTGGGTTTCTTTTCACTTAATAAACATTGTGCCTCTAATGTTAAAAGCAGAGGCTTTGCCACATGTGGGAGAGAATTCATTTGTATCTGAGGCGGTTCCACTGATATGCTCAAATACAGTTACATGGCAGACTCATTTGCTAGAGAGGAGGGAATACCTTTTAAGTTCCCAGAATTTGATTCACAGCCCCCCAAGTAGGTTAGCCTCCCTTCTCTAGGAGTAGTTTGGAGTCTGCTCCCATTCCATTGCACCCTGTTCTGTGTAGAGCCACGGCAATTACTGCAGAGTATTTTTGGGTGCATCTGAGGGCTGGCTGAATGTGGGGTTGTGAGAGGGGAAAACCTTGAGAAGCCATATGTTATCAGATGAGGGAGATGGATTTTTGGGGGTTGTTGAAAGGATAATCTAAGGGTCTGTCCCATGGCATTCAAGTGCTGTGAAACAGTGAAAGAAACTTATTTGTATTATCATAGCACCCAGTCATAGCCTGGGACCCCTTTGTGCTAGGGGCTTTACAAACACAGGACAAAAAGACAGTCCCTGCCCCCAAAGAGCTTACAGTCTAGCTCTGAGTGTGCCCAAATGACAGTTTTTGTACCTTTGTTCTTGGTGTGCATATTTTTCAGATTGGTTTGGTTTGATTTTTTTTTAAATCTAGTTATTTCCTTTTTGCCACCTACTCCCTCCCCTCCAGTCTCCCCAGTTGTTGTTTGCTCCCAGGCAGATGTTGTTACACAGTGGGGAGGTGAAGAGGTGCCTCTCGCATTTTGACTTGATAAGTGACCTAGTGTAGGCAGTGGAAGGGCAATATCCAGAGTCAGAGCACATATTCACCCCTGGGTGAGTTTCCTTTCCCACTTAGGCAAGCCAGGTCCTAGGAGATGCACAGGGCTTTTCCTGAATGCACGTGGTCCACTTTGCCAGAGCTTACTGAATAATTTGAAGGCTTCCTGATCCAGTCTGTCTTTCTGTGCTGGTCACATTCAAGCAAGGTTCTGTCTAGGAGGCACCAAAAGCTTAAGAGGCCTGTTTCATTCCATTAAATCTCTGAGATGCTCCACTTACTGGGAAAACATCAAGAAGAAAGTTTCAAGTTCTCTAGAAGAAATAAGTTCAAATTTGGGATCAGTTTCTAATGGTGTTGATTTAACCTCTCATGAGCCACATCCACTCCTTCATCTTTTCCCTGCTTTGACTCTAATGCCATTAATGATTGTCATAAGACAGTCTGGCTTGCACTTGAAGGCTATAAGAAACGCACTGGCAGGACGTGATACCATTTATGTCCAGAGGCATGACAGGTGTGAAATCTGTTGTCTTTAATGCCTGAATTCCTGTCTATCTTGAATTGTAGCATAGTTAACTGTTTTACATACATTGCTATGGCCACAACGCATTGTCCTTCCCACTGCCACCTCTGCCACAGAGGCAAGAATACTGGCATGAGCAAGTTCCCCCCCCCCCCCCCCGATGATGAAGCACTAGCCCATTTGGACAGTGTGTCAGAGGAGCCAGCTGCTGGTGGCTTGTGTGACAGTGCATTGTGTCAACTCATGGGAGACGTGCGCTTAAGAGCAGTCTCACATCTCCTGGTGTCTAAGCTGGCGAGGCTCACATCTGCTTCCTGCATCCCCTCTCCAGGCCAATTTATGGATTAGATAAAGCTGACACCTTTCAAACCATTTTAAATTAGACTTCCACCTTCTGCCTCCCTCTTTTCCCACCCCATCCCCAGTAGAAGGGAAGTTAAGTATAGTTGCATGAGGCCTGTATCTTAACCAGTGCAGGATGGGAATAGTGGAAGTTTTAATGTTAAGGTCTGAGCTTTATTACCATGGTTTGGAGTTATTCTGTTTTAGTTCCCAAGAAATTCCAACCCCTCCTCTGATAGAGAGAGTCGCACACACCTCCCCTATCTCTGGCATGTCTTAGGAGGTATATGTTGCTTAAGGAAATAAAAAGAATCCAGAACATGTTTACACGAACTAATCTCAAATAGAATAGAACTGCCAATGGTACAGCACATGTGTCCATCAAGTTGCAGCACAGGTACAACAGGATAAGGATCCTAATAATTCTTTAAAAGCCTAAAACTGTGCTACAGCATATACTGAGGTCAGAGAGAAAATGCTAAAAAGTTAGACCCAAAGCTGCGTTAACCAACACCCAAGTCATTCCACCTATGAGGCTTTATTAACCCCTGCTGCTGAACTGCACCTCCAGGTTGCAGCAGGGCCATTAGTGGGAACATTTCTGCCCTGGCAAGGAGGACCTGGGACAAGCGAACCTAATAAGTTTGTTTCAGTCTCTACTGTGCTGTGCAGATAGGGGAAGAGTGGGTGTGTTCCTGGGGATAGCAGTGGAAGCAGATTGAAGTAAGGGGCAATCGGCTACAAATAACCACTTTGTTAAATAAAGGACTGGGCTCTAAATTCAGTAAAGCCGTTGGATTCCACTTCAGTGACTGCATGTTGTCTTAGGTGTTCAGTATGTGGTGAAACTCTCAAGACCCCAGCATGAAAAGAACTACACAAGTGTGATGTTTAATTCAGTGCAAGTGTTTTTCAATGTGAAAATGGACGCACAAAACCCAGCCAAACGGGAAGGGGGACATATGAAATTCTAATAACTTGTGCTGAATTGGGATAACCTTGCTGCGGCTCTGTTACAGTACCTACCAAAGTCAGGGCAGGTCTCTGTGTGTATGGGTTACCTTTTTGACCTCAGACCTTTATGTCCTTGTAGGATAAGAAGGAAGATCGCCCGACAGTTGTCCTGGGCCTCACCCTTAAAGGAATTCACATCTATCAGGTAACAGAATGAAATGAAAGCTATTGATGTACCATTAACTCCATCTAGCCCTCAGCACCCCCTTCTCCCTGTCTCCTTTATGTTCACCAGACTCTGTATTTCACATTCTTGATTGCGTGTGAATTCCTTGCAACCCCTCCCCCCTTATATATGCTAGCCCTTGTGTCATTGTGTGCTTGATATGTTGCAGGAGATGAACCATGTCAGCCAGCTGCTCTACGACTTCCCCTGGTCACATATTGGGAAACTTGCGTTTCTGGTGAGTGTAGCGGAATACGGACCATCTGTCTGGAAGGCAGGCAGCCTGGAACCTGGCAAAGCTGTTGGCTTGCCTGCATTTCCGTGCCAAGCTTTACTAGTAAAAATAAAAATGTGTTGATCTTTGCCACTGACTGAAAACATGCCTCTCCTCGTTGTTCTGGGATCACTCCTTCTGTTTGTTCAGGGGAAAAAATTTGAGATCCAGCCGGATGGTTTGCCCTCTGCCCGGAAGCTGGTGTACTATACAGGTTGCCCTTTCCGGTCACGGCACTTGCTGCAGCTCCTGAGCAACAGCCACCGACTCTTTCTGAACATCCAGCCGGTGCTGAAGCAGATCCGAAAGCTGGAGGAGGCTGAAGGTACGTGATGGGGAGCAGACCCCTTTGGGGAGGGGAAAAGAGCCAGGAAGGTAGATAGGTAGGTTTGTTACTGTTACTTCATAGTGGCTTCTTATTTGATAGCCTTCCTGTCATGAAAGTGAAGATGGTGAGAGGAAGGAGAGGGGATCAGGTTTGTTCCCATTGGTTAGCATGAAATGGTTATGACTCCCACTGCAGGACTTGGGTTTTCTCTTACTAGAGACTGTGTTCAGGAAACAAAGGGAGATTTCCTCCTTTTCTGAAGTGAGTGGTGATTCTCGCTCGTTGGCTGCTCAACTCACATAAACTTGTCACCTTGAGATATTTTTGATATTTAGTAAGTTCTGAAAAAGATTTGAATTGTAGGATCTCCAGTTACTCAAGGTATGCTACAAATCATGGTCACGCTTCTGTATTAAAGGTACCATTTATGAAGGGTTGCTAAATGGTTAATCAATTGCTATAGATTGATAGAGTCCAGCCATTCAGGAGGTTACTTCATAACCATCTGGAACATGTTTGTAACATGAGCAACAACATCTAATATATTTTTAAACATACCCTTAATATATAAATTGTGATTAAAATGGTACGAGCTGTCAATCCTGTGGCTTCCGGGTTTAAGATGATTCCAAGAAGGGTCCAGGAAGCAACTTCTTCCTGTGGTATAGTATTGCTCACTTGGGTTAATTATGGGGAATTTACATCTGTCTCTGAACCAGTGAGCATTGGCTATCCTGAGTCAGGATACAGGGCAAGATGACCCATTGGTCACTTCTCGTATGGTCCTTTTCAGTGTTCCGTTTTTTGTGTTAACTGTTAATCGCAATTACCGTGTGTAAAGGAGGTCACTGAGGAATATGGGTTCCAATCAATGGCATGTGACCGTCATCCGCTAAAGAATGCTGTTAGAACACTAACACAATGCATGTGGGCAGGGTAATGTACGACTGCCATTATGGAGGTTTTGCACCTTCCTCTGTGGTATCTGGTGCTGACCACTGTACCAGACAGGATATTGGGCATGATGGACCATTGGTCTCAACCCAGTCTGGCAAATCTTTTAATATTTGTGAAAACAAAATGCAGCAGGTTTGGAAATACATAAATGTCAGGAGTCAAAGTGGGCTCTATTTGTGACTCACTCACTCCCTCCCCCTCCGATTGTTCTTTCCCATTCACTTCTGGCTTATTTAGGACTCGATTCTGTGAGGTGCTGAGCACCAACTCCCATTGACTTTAATGGGAGTTCAGTGCATACATAAAAATTCCGTTTCTTGTACAGATTTCAAGTCCTATCCACGCAAGAAAATTGACCCATTGCTGATAATGACTGTGAGCAGTAAGTTCCCCCAGGACTAGTGTTTTGGAAATAGCTTTATCCCCTCTCCTATTCTAGCATTTAAACACCTTTGAACACCAATAAAGGAGGACCCCTGCGGACAACTGTTTTCAGTGATGGGTCAGTTTCCTAGTGCAGGTGGGCTCAATCTTGCCACCGCTGAAGTAATTGGGAGTTTTGCTTTTAAAAAGCAAGGGAGCAGGATCGGTCCCTAAACCTACTAAGTGCTTGGACATACAGAACCTACTTTCTCGGCCTGCCACACAAGCTACCTTGCTCATCAAAATACTTCGCACATTGTCTTAATTTAGTGAGACATTTTCAGCTCCACAGAACTTATAACTGGTTATTGTTTTTCATTTTAAGAATGATCATTGCAGGTTGCGTAGCTAACATAGCTCTCAACCAAAATGTGTCTGTTTTACTCCATAGGGGGTGAATCTCTCCCTATCTGGCTGCTCTAATTCACCAGATCTTAGCTAAGATGTAAATTATGCATCTCGGAAATAGTGTTAATAGCCAGCTGGGTGTCCCCTAATCCATCAGAATACACAGTATATAAAAATGTGGTACTATTTTTGCTTCTGTTGGTTTTTAATACCTAATGTATGATTCTTCTTCCCTGCCTCATGTTCTTGGTGCTCTGCTGATTTACAATCATTTGGATTAATATTTGCTGTCTGTAAATAAGTTCAAATGTCCATTAAATGGGGACAATGATACTAACACACCCTTACAAGCCTAGGGGCTATGTAAGTGCTAAGTATTATGAATTTAAAACTATTAATTCTGAATGACTGAACACATGGCTAACTGGAGGGGATGACACTTCAGAATGTTAAATATGCAGTCACTGTTATACAACTTTACTTTTTTTAATAAAAAAAAAAAACAATCCTCAACTTAACTTTGCAAGCCCTCTCTCAGTGGAGCCACAAAATCTAAATCAAAGTTAATAGTCAGGACTTTCAAAAGGGACAAGTGGTGTGGTTTGTTTTTTTTTTTTTGATTCCCAGCTTGACACATTACAGGGCCTGATTTTCAGAGTGGGGAATACTTTTCACTCTCTGAAAATCAGTTACCTTCAAGATTACATAAGTTGGGCACCCAAAATTCCTGTTCACTGAAGAAGAAAAAAAAATTAGCCGGAGTTTGTGCAGCTTCATTAGTTCCTTTTCCCAGCAAAACCTGATAGACCCTTTAAGTTCCCAGCTGTTCCTGATGTCATGAGCAGCTCCTGTCTCCATGTTCAAACAAAGCTATAGTGGCTCAAAGTCCAATATCTCTGCTTCAGTGGACTTAGCCACTGAAATTCCTCTCAAATGTGGAAACCAGGATTTTTGAAGGAGTGGGAGGTCTGTTACACCTCACTGTTGAGAAGCAGACTGAATGGCATTGGAGTAGGATGACAAGACTTTCTAAGGAGACAGTTGGGATCTGGGGTGGGAGAGGGACTTTTCTTCAAGTTCTTCCTTTTTTTTTATGTTGGCTTGAGAAGGAAAGGTGAGGAGTGTATGGAAGAATGGCCGGGAACAGCTTGCATGGAAAAGAAGAACACTCCTTCCTGGTTTCCCTGTCTCTTTCAGTTTGGTATCTAAAGCAGTAGCCCTGGCAATAATTTCAGTTGCCTAAGGTTAACAGTATGTACAGCCACAGCATAATGACTCATTCAGCCAGCTAGGCTTGTATTTTAAAGTATTGCTGATCTCCTGCTCCTCCTCCTCCTCACGTAAATCCAGTATTGAAAAGTGATTCTGGGAAAAAATCCAAAGAATCCATTTGTCTTGGGATGGGGAGCACTTTGTGGACGCTCATGATCGCCCTTATTTATCTTGGCAGTTGAACTGCTTAACGCAAACTAGTGAGCATGAGGGTATAAAAATGGGGGGGAGGGTACAGTTGTCTGCTTTTAGACCTTAGGAAAGCTGTGTGATATCCAGAGCTCTAGGCATTAGACAGAGCTCAACATAATGTGGAGAAGACTGAGGTCATGTCACTTAATGATAGGTGGAGCAGGGACATTGTGCATTGCTTGCAAGGAAAAGGCTGAAGTCCTTAAGAATCTGGATGTTAAAGCAATTCATTGTATAGGATAGCTCCCTTCTCTTCCCACCTCCTAAAGGTTGTTAGAAAGGACTTCAGTAGGTTGAGTTCACTTCTGTTGCCCACCAGTAGAAGATGGGATGTAACCCAGGCATCCACCTGGTGATCTGGTTCAGTTTCACTTTTTTCCTCCTTGTTCCTTTTTCTGCCACAGCCTTGCCCTCTTACTGTTGAGTTTGCTTTCCTCTTTCTTCCACCACAGTTACACAATGGATGCAATTAAACACAGCACTAAGCACTAGTGACAAGTTTGAGGTGACCGGTATGCCTGAAGGGAGTGGGGGGTGCAGAAGAATGAGAGATGAGGTGGTGGGGGGGGGGGCGTGGATAAACCAGCAAAAGGAATGTGATGGTAGCTTACATATGTGTGAGTGCATAAAGGGCTCAGCAGTGACTCACTAAAGAGACTGTCTTAAAAAAAAAAAACCTAAAGCTCTGTGGTATGTGGTTCCCAACCCCGCCAGACTTCACAAGTCCTCAGAGGAAGGTGGATTAGAGCTGGCTTTAGCATTCGCTGAGCCCCAAACAGGGGTTGGTGAAAATGGGCCACATGCTGCCTCCCTTTCCTATCCCACTGCCAGGTAGGTAAGTTGTTTCGCTGTCTGATCTTGCTTGCAGAAGTGGGGAGAGGGGGAAGAGAAAGTGATTATGCTGGCTCAGGGAGTGAAATCTGCATGGGGACTCCAAAAGCCAGTAAGTCGAGCAGTCATCATCAGTGCTTGGCCCAGGTTCCAAGCTGCACCCAATATCTACTGTTACTTAATCTCTCTGTGCCCCCATTCCCCACCTGTAAAATGCGGGGGATTGCACTTAAACATCCTCACAACATGCTGAGACGTATGATCTGAAGTGTGTGGATACTAGGGTGATGGGGGCTATATAAGTACAATAGGTAGAGGAATGGGAGGCACAGAGAAGATGGTTGAGACTCCCCGGCTTGGGACTGATTGCATATTTGCTCTGCCATAGTTTACAGCAGCTCTGAGGCTGCACTAAAATGTGCCTGCTGACCGTTGCCTTCAGAATAGGTGGAGCACAGTGAGTCCCTTGCCTCCTGCATGAGGGAGTCTTGCCTAGGCCTAGCTGGGTGTCCACTCCCAAACATGACCACCCTTTCAGACACTGTGACAGTCTGGTCAGGCAGCAGTCCAGACCAGTTGGGTTGTCAGCATTTGCCCTGCAACTCTGTGCCTTTCAATGCCTTGCTACTGTAGCACCCAGCCTGGGATACTCAGTCAACAAGTAGTATACATGTCTCTCACAGCCCTGGTCTGGCAGCTCTGACCCCAGCCTTGGTTACAGCCAACAAGGTGACCCCAACTCACTCCCAGCCCCAAACCCTGTGCTCTGCAATGTCCAGCCTTCTCCTGGACAGTTCAGAGAAATAATAAAAATTTGTTCTTGTAGAGACACAAAAATACATCACAGTTCATTGACTTAACTGGAGTAAATGCACCCTTTCATTTAAACACTGCACTGAGTTGGTTTATAGTAAATATAAAAGAAATTTATTAACAAGAGGATATAGGTTAAGAGATGCCAAGTAAAAGCAATAACGTTAAAAAGGGTCACAAGCAGATAAAATTGTAAAATATGCATCTAAAAGTCTAGAACTTAATTTAGCAAGGTACAAGCTTTGTTCAAGATCTTTTTTCTCACCTGTATTTATTTCCCAGAGACTTCAAGCACCCTTAGCTGAAGGACCCATCTTTCTCAGCTCACAAGAGTTCTGTTCCCTTGTCTGTCTTGTGATGTATGCCAAAGATTACTTCTCTCCTTACTTACATCTTCCAAAGTTCAATGAACTTTTTTCAAGAGGCAGGATGACCTAATGCTGGTTTCCCCCCATCCCCCTGCTGACTTCTGTGTAAATGGAGCTCCCATTGTTTCTGGTCACACCATGCTTAATTTATGAAGGAGACAGGTAAATAGCTGCCTTCTCTCCTGTCTGGAAGGGAACCTGTTTCTCCCTATTAGTTTTAAAATCTGGGCCCACAATATCATTAAGAATCCACATTTACCCATATAGTATTGTTACATATATTGCACAACATTACTGTCACCAGTATGTCCTTAGCTTTCAGAAAAGACCTCACTCAATAATATTGTATACAGTCTGTTGATTCAACTGCTTATCGCTTGAGGTTCAGCCCCCTGTGTTCACAAATAGTAAACCTTTGAAATGGACTCTTTGAAAAGTAAAACCAAAACCTAGCTTCTCTCTCCTGCTGGGTGCAGATGCCATGCTCCCTTCTCCCCCATTTGTTAGAGGTTTGCCTCCCCCCTCCTTGTGAGCTTAACGGGTCTGTTTACACAATATGTGAGCATATTCTCCTTCTCTTTCACAGTACTTTGGAAGCAACCCCCAGGTGTCCCAACCCCCAGGTCCTAACTCTTCATAAACATTGCAGACATGCATCATGGAAGAATATTAATGATCAGTGAGTTATTAGTTCTCAAATGATACCTCACCCAGCATATTTTGCACAAAGCTTATTATGATAGCGTGTAGGATGTGACAGGGTGCTTGGTGTCACAGCTACTCAAGCCCTCTCCTCTGGGCTGTGCCAGCTCTCTTTGCCTTGCAAGTTAATAATAGATGCACCCCAGTCCCCAAACCCCTTTGAAGCATTCCCGTGTGAAACCCAGCCCCTGACACTGGTGAAAGGATTGAGATTTTACTAGAAACAAGAGTGTGATGAAAACAAATGGTAACTTACAATACAAAACAAAATCATAAAATGTGAATGTGGATCTGCACTTAATAGTTACCTTTCTTATCTAATAAAGTAGGTTTTCCTCCCCTAAAGTTTGTCTGTTGCAGAGCTGGCTGGCTTCACAGGAATCAGGATCCAGTATTTAATGAGAACACCCCTGTTCCTCAAGATGTCTCTTCAGTGCATGGATCCACAGTGTCTTTCCAAATTCTCTGTTATAAAGAAACAGGTTTTTGTCTTTACTCATAGGAAGGGTGGTCTCCTGTCTGTTTCAGTTGTTCGCAGTTGTCTCCATTGGCTTTCCACTGAAAGTCTTGGAGCAAGGCCAGTCAGTTGAACCTTGCATTGCATCACTGGCTAAACAGGGTGGGGTGACACCTCCCTCCTGCCTGAATGGGCCATCATGAGACATATCCCCTGGTGACTAACTTTTTACTCCCAGCCCATAAAGTAGTCATGCAGTATAAATAAATAATTCCATCAATATTACCCATACAGATACCTTGCAATGAATATGAACCTTGATAGGTTACAAGTTTCTGTAGATACCTTAGATGTTACTCCTTATGGATAACTATCCTGCAAGTCGTGTTTGGTGTCCATGAGCTTGTCAGGTCTGAGGTGAGAGTTGTTTGTGAAGATCAGGGGACTCTTTGCCAAGGAGCCTCTGTGTCACATGCAATAGTGTTGCAGACCCACCATCTAATCTGTAGATTGATGTAGGAGCTGATGCACATGGGAGGATCTTTGGCTGAGGAGGATCTGTTTAACTTTTCAGCCCTTCTGTTCTGCCAGAGTAGTGGAAAGGGGCTGAAGCAAAGAAGAAAATTTGGTCCTTGTTTGTGCTTAATACTGGCCCTGGGGATGGTCTGTTCGGTGTAGAGAGCCAAACATCTCGCTATCGCTTGTTTGAATGACCCCAGGACCTGCTATAGAAATTTGTGGGGAGGGACCCAATTAAGATATATTCCCAGTGGGGGCATAGCCTCATGTTCCCTTTCTTCCACCGCCTACCACTTATACACAATTCCCTTGTGCCCCTACAGTTGCGCCAAACCCACCCATTTCTTTCAGATTATGGGCCCTTCACTGATCAGCGTGCTGAGACCGCAAAAGACCACAGTCCCACATTAAATTCAGGACAGTCTCCCTTCTTGAGGGTCCTACTCCTTACAATGGTTTTCTCTAGAGCAGGAGTCATGGTGAAGAGAATCAATTAATTTTAGGACCTCGGTTTGGATTTAATTTCTTTTATCTCCAATTGGTTCCTTTTCCCCTCTGCCCCCCGTCTGTAGAGAAGAAGCGTTATCGGGAATCCTACATCAGTGACACTCTGGAGATGGACCTTGACCCCTCGGATAAACACTCCCACAGCAGTGGAAGCAGTGGGGGCAGCCGGAGGAACAATAGACTATCTCGTCAATCAACTGGGAGCCACGGCAGCTCGCACACGTCTGGCATCGAGGCTGATTCGAGGCACAGGATGTCAGTGGAAATGTCAGTGGATGAGCCCTTTGGTATCGAACGGGTTCATCGGAAGGAGAAATCATGCAGCTCGACTGTTAGCTATGGCAGCTCTGGCATTGGCAGTGGTAGCAAAGGGAGAGCTGAAGATGACTCTCAGGATGACGGTAAGGAAGTTGGGGTGGGGGGGGGCATGTGGTGTTTAACAACCTTGGTCCCATGCTGTTGTGCTAGAAAGGAGGAGGTAATGAAACTTCAAATGACTTGGTAGAGCAGAGACCTGACATTAACCGCTCTTCTCTCTTCCAGAGGTTGAGCTGGCAGTGGATGAGCCAGAGGAGGTGCCTGTGGATGAACCTGTAGAGAGAAACCAGTTGGAGGAGGCAGCTAAAGGAGAGTCTGTCAGTTCTCTTGCTTTAGATGCACTTTGCTGTCAAGGTGAGTTGGCTTTCTGTAGTCATTCCGTGTGCCTCTCGAGGTTGTGTGTAGTTTCATGGAGATGTGCGTGGCAAGCACAGAATTATCCAGAAGAGATTCCAAGGCAGGCATACTGGAAATTGACTTTCAGTGCTACAGTTCAGTTATCTCTTTGTGGCTTAAGACCAGACTGGAAGCCAGGTCCTATAGAGGTGAAATGCAGGTGTGCTATATTATATGGCAACATAGTCCCTGTCTTCCAGAATGGCCTCTGTTTTTCCCTTGCCCATCTCAGATTTTTTTTTTTCAATTGATTCATGAACATCTCTTCTGTGTGACTTGAAAATGTATGTAAGCCTTTCCAGCAAAGGAATTAACTGATGTACATTATGAAAGGCAGACGTGTTCAATCACAAATTGTTGAGCTTGGTGAGGTTCTGTGGCCTGTTATGTTAGGCCTCCAGTGATCATAGTGGTCCCTTCTGACCCATGAATCTGTCACAATCCAAGCGTTAAAGCCGGGTGAGAATGATGTGAATATGAAACTAGGGAGTTGAAATAGCCCCGATAATGCTGTTTTTCTAATTCAGCCTTTTGGCCTCAGCCCTGAGATTGAAAGACCCATGAGTATTAGTGACTGAAACAACATCTGTGAGTGTCTTTCAAATGAGCTTGGGAGGTGCGTGGTATGGGACTAGCTGAACGTTGTAACTGTCTGAGGAGATATATTGTAAATTGCCTTTTCACATGAACTGCTGTAAATGTTTCAGTGCAAATCTATAATCTGAATTCCAATCTCTTCCTCTGGCAGCCCTTAAGCAGAAGCCTCTCCCTGTGGTACAAGTCACACTGCTAAAAATGAGAGGCCAAAGTGCGGAATCCCTTCATCAGGTGAGAGGAAACAGCAGGCTAGTGGATCTACTGTGGATATTGGGCCAAATTCTGCTCTCCTTTACACAACTTCAAATCAAGTCGGAGGGGCTACTCTGGATTTACTCTGGCATAAGTGAGACCAGAAGTTGACCAGTAATTACTACTAGAGATGGGATGAGGAGGCAACATTTGGATCCAAATTTATAATGAGAAGGTTTGGAGTGAGCAAGACTGAAATCTTGCAAACTGTCCTTAGATTTAGGCTTCCAAAAAGGAAACAGAAAATAAACCACTTTGAGTTTTGAGTCCAAACCAGAGCCAAGACCGTTTGGGTGATTTTTGGATTTGAGAGGCAAACTCAATTTCCTCTCCGCTCCTAAAGTTGGAAGAGGTTCAAAGCTGAGGGACTGGTTTTGCTCCATCTGTAATTATTACTGTTTGTTTCATTGTGCTGCTTGTTTGCTGAAGTTTTCTGTGTACGTTTCTTTTCCCTAAGTCTCTAAGAAAAAGAAACTATGTATGGCAAAAGAATGTACTGTGTCTTAAGCAATACTGGCTTGCCCTCTGAAAAACCTCTTACATTTAAAAACTTCTGTAAACCTTTTTATATTTCAAAGTGTGGCTATAGTAATAGAAAAAAGTTTAATATGACTCTATCATGGAGATCCCCAGTTATTCCCTCCAAGTCCAAACCAAACTTGCTCAGCTAAGAAAATCTAACTCCCGCCCCCCCAAAATGCGAACACACACACGCTAATGCTCTCGCTCTCTAAAAAATCAATCTGGGTCTTTCTGCCTCTTTGGTCAACAGTGATAAATAATCTCCAATTGGAGTTTACCTGTTTTTTATTGATCCATTAGGCTAGACTAAAATCCATCTTATTCTTCCAAAACTGTTGGTTCTTCAGGGCAAACCATAGTAAAAACTTATTTCTGCTGTCGAGTTGAATAGAGGTGACTCGGACACACAGGGAGCAGACGTGTTCAGTAAGATGTGCTGTTTTTACATTAGTCTGTTTCTGACCACACACTTGCAGTGCTTTCCACTGGTGATATTCAGTCTATTTTGGCCCCAGATTCAGACACCTTAAGAGTTTTTTATAAGAATAGTTCTGATTTAAATATAGGTTTGATAACACATTTCAAGGGATCTTTTCTTTCTGATGGCTGCCTCTTTTGCCAGCATATATATGGAATAGTCAATTTGTGACTTTGGGTCTTTTTTCTTATATACAAGGCTGTGTAACTGAATAACTGTATTATCGGTAGGATTTTCGAAAGCACTCTGTGTTTGAATTCTTTTCTCTCAAGGCAGAGCTGGGGTGGTCAGCCTGGCATAGCAGAAGAGTTGAGCCAATGCTGAGTGCTTTTGAAAGTGTGTGTGTGAGAGAGAGAGAGAAATTAAATAGAAATGTTTATTGTGTATATATATATATATTTATCGATACATGTGCACAAAGTTTTATGTCTGCATTGATAAGGTAAGTATATTTTGTTCGAATGCTATATTTCTAGAATTTAATCTTAAAACCAATTTAAGGAATAACTATCAAGAGCCAGGGCTGGTCAGTAATTTCTCAATAAAGGCCAGGTCACTATTGCTCATGCTAAATGAATTTAGCCTTTTTAAATGCTCCTGCTGGTACACTGCTCCGATTTTTCCATTTCTGTGTAATGTGTGGATTAATTGTACTTGGCATTTGTGTTAACATTAGGCACAAAGCTCATCAATTTTCACAGTTGCTTTCTGAACCTTCCTTTTAGCTCATAAAATCTTAGTGGACCCAATCCCAATGTTTTCTAGTGCTTGTTTTTCATATGTAGCCAGAAGCTGACCTCCCCAGCTCTGCCAGGAAGTGCCACTTCAGCCACACTTAACTCCTGTCAGATGCTCCATTCATTGTACTTGACACTGGGGACACAATGTACAGAGATCAGAATCTGAATGAAATAGAAGGGCAGTTTAGTGAATTCACAATTTCATCATGGTTCACAGCTTCTGCATGTAGACAGTGCCCTTTAGAAAGCTGATGGGGAGGGGTGTGGTTTGAGGGAACAGGAACAGTTTAAGGATGAGCATTAGGAGCCAGCATCCTTAGGCTATGTAATGCTGTGTTTCAGCTCATAGTCATTTCCTTGTTTGTGTCTTACTGAACCGTCAGGTGAGACAGCCTAAAGACAGGAGCTGCTCAGACCAGCACAGCCAGAGTTTGGATGACATCCGTCTTTACAAGCATCGGCATCCACCACTAAGCTCCACGTTATCTTCGGACACCTCCCACAGCTACACGTTTGGTTGTGCACTGGAGGATAAGCTGGCCAACTACGGCTGCGTTTATTCAACAGCAGACTGCAAAACCAAGTCCGCCCTCTATGGAAAGAGATCCATGAACTGCCTGTCTCTGGATCTCTTGGGAGAAGACCAGCTGCCGGAGGAGTTTGTAGTGTAGCCAGGTCGGCAAGGTCCTAACCAAGGAGACGGCTCATTAGGGAAATAAAAGCTACTATATATACCTCATCAATGCACGATACATTGCTTTTGTTCTCGCAGGTGATTGGTAAATGACTTTTGTACCCTATTAAGGGATATATAAGTAGTGCCACAACCCAACAAACCTGACAAAAGTGCAAGTTTATTACAGGGGAGCACTTTAATTAAAAAGAAAAATACTGGCATTGGAATATCTGTCCTCTACCCAGCGCACTGTTAAAATGGACTGCCCCAATAGAGCTGACAACTTTTTTGTTTAAAATACCAGTGGACAGTTGGCCCAAAACGTCTAATAAGCTAATAGCACAGAGAGCACATTGAATTGACTTCCCTGAAAAGAACTACGGATTCCACATAGTTTGTTTTTTTTTAAGCCACCTACTTCCTGACCTTTTGTGCCCATAATGTTGCACTAATCAAGTGTGTTGGTCCCCTTAAATTCACTGTACTGAGGAACCGCTGTCAACTGTCTGTTTTCTCCTAGAACATATCTCAGCCCATCAACAACTGGTATGGACCTTCTGTAGCTCTGTAATATCTAGAACCCTGTCCTGCTCCCTTTGAAATCAGTGGAAGCTTCACTGTTGACTTCACTAGGAGCAGGATCTGCCCTATTGTGGGTTTGTTTCTAGATTCCCTCCCCAACCAAGCCAAAAACATACCAGCAATTGTACCACTGTTTTTTTTTTAAACTGCATTTTAGAGCAGCGAAGCGGGAACCACTGGCCACTAACTATTGCTACAAACCTCCACTATTGATCCCTAGATACAGTCTTCCTCCTTGTTATTGTTGGAAAACAACAGGATGACTCCGCTGCTTCCGGCAGTTTGGATTTTGAGGAAGTCATGACGAAAGTGCTAATTGATTGGCTTTTCAGGAAAGAAGTGTGGCTGGAGAAGTTGTCCAGGTATGATCGCATCTACTTGAATCAGGGCACTTTTAAAAAAACTCAATTCCGTATAAATTCACCCTCTGAGTTTTGGAGGCCGAACATGGAGAAATAGATTTCAGAGGATGGCTAAAGTAGTTAATAGTGATTATGCCCACTTTTGATTTTGATTGGGGCATTCAACTGGTGAAGGGTGACTGTAAGGCACCTGATGATAGATGTTTGTGGTGGTTTCTGTGTCCAGAGGTTATGGTTTGGGGTTTTTTGAGTGCTATGGAGCTGTACCAGTGTTGTGTGAAAGGATACATGCACTGGTACTATATGATAAAAAGGGCTCATATTAGGTCTGGAGATGAAATGCTTTCTGCCTTCATTCACAAAAGTGATGCTATGTTATTTTGCCCCCTTTTTTTCCCACCTGCAGTACTTAGGGGAAAAGGGAGTGACACAACCACCTATAACCCCATGGCCAGGCTGCATCCTGGCGAAATGGAGAAGAATGATGTAACGAATCAATGTTCCATACATCCCCTCAGCAAAGAATAATTATTTTAGAAAATAAAGCAAAATGTCATCTTGTTGACTTAAAAAATTTGAGTACAGTATCGATCTTGCTGCACTAAAGAGTTGAAAATAGTTGAATCCATGTAAGCTGCAGTCAGACAACAGTTAAAATTCACTGCAGTTTTGAAAGTCCGTTTGCTGGGCCTTTTAAGAGGAAGATACTCACTGTGATCCCAGCACAAATGGAAAACTGCATTATATTACCATCTTAGGCAGCAGTCAGTTGGATAGTTGCATTGCAAGTGAACTATTAAAATAACCAAGCCAGAAACTCCCTGATCTCAGTTATGGTACAAGATTTTCATGCAGATAGGTATATCTCACAACAGCAGATGCATCAAACATTGCTCTGTTGAAAATGCCAGTTGTCCTATTGCTTTAGATGACATTTAACTTACTATACATGAGGCAAGGGTTCTTGGTGTTGTCTTCATTTTTCAGTCATCCTTTGTTATCTTGAGAAGGAAGTGATCTTAAACTTAAGATGCACAAAACCAGCCATGTAGCATGCTCTCAATATGTCATTCTCTCTGACTCAACATATTTTGCTGTATTTATGGTCAGAAAATGTTTAGAAGGTATTTGAGCTGATGGCTGCTTGAGTGCATGAGTAAAAGTTTATTGTACTTGCTGTGTGTATGAGAATCTTCACGGTTGACTGGTAACTCTGGAACTCCATATCTTGGGTCAGTCCGTGATGGAGCAAAACTCCCTGTGAAGTCATTGGGAGTCTTGTTGAATTCGATTTCCCCATTCTCAGCACTGTGTCCGTGGGCCAGATCCTGCATCCACTAATGTAATGTCATTGAATACATTCTCTTAGTCGAATAGATGCAATACTGACCCCAATATGTATTTTTTGATAGGCTAAGACACACTATCGGTCACCTGTAATCATGTTTTATTCCACTGGTATTGCTATTATTACTTCACAATGCTTGAGAATGATTTGTATGATGCTGAATTCATCAGTTTACTTTGACTATCCCAGCAAAGCGCAAAACCCTTCTATATCATACTTCATTATTTTTACTTTGAGTCTAGACAGTGATAGAGCTTTTAACTCTTATTTATCAGCCAAATTCAGCGTCAGTCTGTTAGAGACCAAAAGTTGCAACCGTTAGAGGCCTATTGAACAGCATGTAAAATGAGTTGGGGAAAGTGGGTTCAGTCCAGGATCATGCAGACAAGTGACCTCATTCCATGGAGACTGAACTTACCTTTTCATTCGTCAATCTGGAGAGACCACCTCAGAGTTGAGAAATGCTGGTGGGGGTCTGGGGCTGCTTTTGCTGGCCATGCTGTGGGTCTGTTCTATCTACAGAGAGGACTTCAGCCTACAGTGCTGTCACTCTAATGCTAAATTCACTCACCCGTTCTAATGCAATTCCTCAAGGAATCCTTCTATTGTTAAGACTCTCACTTTCAATTATTTTCAATTCTGGGGAGGTAGAGGGTATAAATCCAGCAAGGTATTTTTCTCTGGAAGTTCTCTGTGGGGGAAAAATTGTATGTGCTGCACGCTCGCTCACTCTTTTTTCCATAATAAATTACCTTTAATTTTTGAATATTTGCTATATTCTAATCTAGTGGACTGTCTGAAGTGTTAGGCACTTTTTTTAAAGTGCCAGTCTGATCACTGTCACCAAACAGTGAAATTACATTTTTATCCCTGATTTTTGTGCACGTTAGAAACAAACAAAAAGACCCACAATTCCAGCAAGATTGTGTGAAAACACTCTCTAAAATAGTGGCAGCAATAATTTAAAAATTGGAAAGTGCTAAGTTTGTGTGTGTCTGATTTACAAATGAGGTGGAACACCAATGTCTAAAAGTTAAAGTAGTTCTTCCATGTGTATCCATTGAATACAATTGCTGGTTGTGTGTAAATATATGTATATATTTATTTATTTGGTGTGGAGAGAAAACTCTCCAAACTTTGGGCAGTCTTATCCTGTTGGTACTTGCGGCTCATATTGATACTAATGTATGCGTATGAAAGGCAGAATGAGAGTGACTCACTCTATATCTTACAAACACTGTGAATACATATTATGCAATCTCTTCTGTATTCATGTGACACTACTGTTTTGACTAGTAATGTACTTTGTTGTCTTTAAATCCAGAAGTTCTACTTTATTATTTGTTTTTGGATTAGTTGTGGTAGGGGGTAAAAATAAGCATTTTATCTATGATGTTATGAAACCAGCTGCCGATGTTTGTACAGCTGTAATATACTCATGGTATAAGTCACTCTATATTTTATGGCACAAGTTTCTCCTTTCCATGAAAGGAATCTTTGTTTTTAAAAATTTAAATATATATAAAAAAATATATGTACACTTGTAATAAAGGATGGATAGAAAAACACTTGAATGGATTCACGGTGTAGGTGTAAATAACATTCTTTCCAGAGGCATTTGGGTTGAGGAAATGTTTTTTGACTTGCTGATGAGGGTTTCCACACTGTATGTATTAAACCAGAGCCCACACAAGTTAAAACTCATTAACCAAATCATTAAAGCAACGTTTTTTATCAGTGGGACTGGCAGGAAGAGAGTAAGTGTGGTGGGTGGGTGGGTGTGTGTGTGTGTGGTTTTTGTTTTGGTTTTTTTGGTGTTTACAGTGGCAGTGTTTCCAGATCCATCCATGTCTTGTTTTCAGGACCCAGTCTAACTCTGATTAAAATCAGATGAGAATTGAATCAGGGCCTAAATGTACAAATTAGACTCTGCAAGAGTGAGGTGTTGGTTCTAGATGATTGTGGATAGGATAGTTGCTGCTCCAGGAATCAGAGCTTCTGGAAGATTCCCAGTGGTGTGAAGACCATCTCCCCATACTGATCACCTTTGGGTAAATCAGCTACCACCCACCAGAATCGAACTCAAGGTATTTCTAAAGAACCCTCTTTTCCATAGCGTCTGGGTGCTGGTGTAGTATCTGCCATGTGTAAGGAACCTGTCTCTTTCCACAGAGCATGAATTGCATTTAATTTTTTTTATTACAAAATTTGCATTATCTCGGATGACAAAAATAAGTCATTTGAAGAGGTGCCAGTAGCTTAGTGGCTGCTCAAATTTCCTCCTCTTTGAGTGGTTTGCTGTATTAGGTTCTGTCAAGGTTCCTTCCCCACTCTGAACTCTAGGGTACAGATGTGGGGACCTGCATGAAAAACCCCCTAAGCTTATTTTTACCAGCTTAGGTTAAAACTTCCCCAAGGTACAAACTATTTTACCTTTTGTCCCTGGACCTTATTGCTGCCACCACCAAGCATCTAACAAAAATAACCGGGAAAGAGCCCACTTGGAAAAGTCTCCTCCCCCCCCCCCCCCAAAAAAAAAATCCCCCCCCAAGCCCTACATCCCCTTTCCTGGGGAAGGCTTGATAAAAATCCTCACCAATTTGCATAGGTGAACACAGACCCAAACCCTTGGATCTAAGAACCTGATTGCTTTTTCATTGTTCTTAAAAAGAAGAATTTTAATTAAAGAAAAAGTAAAAGAATCACCTCTGTAAAATTAGGATGGTAAATACTTTACAGGGTAATCAGATTCAAAACATAGAGAATCCCTCTAGGAAAAACCTTAAGTTACAAAAAGACACAAAAACAGGAATATACATTCCATTCAGCACAGCTTATTTTATCAGCCATTTAAACAAAACAGAATCTAACGCATATCTAACTAGATTGCTTACTAACCCTTTACAGGAGTTCTGACCTGCATTCCTGCTCTGGTCCCAGCAAAAGACACACAGACAGAGAGAACCCTTTGTCCCCTCCCCACTCAGCCCCCCAGCTTTGACAGTATCTTGTCTCCTCATTGGTCATTTTGGTCAGGTGCCAGTGAGGTTATCTTAGCTTCTTAACCCTTTACAGCTGAAAGGGTTTTTCCTCTGGCCAGGAGGGATTTAAAGGTGTTTACCCTTCCCTTTATATTTTATGACAGGTTCTCTGGCAAATTCATTTCCTGCTAACTTCAGCACACCCCATGGGTTATTAAGCTGCCATGTTTCTTTATATTTTTGGTTTCCCTCTGACCATTTCTTGTCGTAGAGTAACATCCCTAATCTCATGACTGAGACTTTTTTAAAAGTCTCATCTTTCTGTAATATCTACTGTACTTATATCATTTCCTCCCCAGGTTTTTTCTTTTTTAACCCCCAGAAATATTTTATTTCCTTTCTTATTTTGGAAAAACTCAGTTTGGAACTGATTTTTTCCATATTGGTATTCTCTAATTCCAAATTAAACTTCTCAAAAGGACTCTGCCATTCCAGTTTTCATCCATCTGCCAGACCATGGTGTTGTGTTTTTTGTCTGCTGTGGTGCATTGGCCAATAAAATGTTGTTGACCTTCCGCGCAGTGAACTTGTCAGTATTAGTTTGTTTGTCCACTTCTTTGAAGAGGTAGACTTTTTCTGTGGGATTCATCACTGTAGGATCTGAGCATCTTGCAAACATTTAATAAATGTGTCCTCACAACATGTACAGTACTTCCCTGTGAAGTAGGGAAGTGCTGTAGTTACTAGTTGCTGAAAGCCTGTGATGTTGCATGGACAGAATTCATAGCTGTGGTTTTAGTGGTGTGGTTTTTCTTTTTGTATTGTATTTTTTTTTTTAAAGGCAAAAATGGCTGAGAAGTTGCATTATAACAGACTCTGAATCCCTGTGGTGATTGAACTCAGTGATACTCTCAACTAAAAAAAGCTTTCAACTATGCTTGTATCTGTTTCTATAGCTTCACAGTGACCCAACAGATATTCTAGGCTTCAGATGTTTGGGTTCTTGTTGATTTGTGTGTGGCTTCTTGTGCTGGGAGAGCGGTGTGTGCTATGGGGAGGGGCTATGTGCGTTGGGGATTATGAGTATTATGATTACGTTGTGGGTGGTTTTGAAAAGCTCTGGTAGTTCAGCCAAGTAATCCACCATCTGTGCAGCCTCATTCATACAAACATCCCATGCAAATTAGCTGTAGAGGTAAGGGCGGTGATTGGTTGAGTTACTTCTGATATCACAGTGATCTAAGACTTTCCGCATGGCATAGCTACGTACCTCATTGTCGCATAGGTGTAGGCTGAGAATTTATTGGGTGGTAACAGACTGTGAATCCCAGTGATGATTGAACCTGATGATATTCTGAACAAAGAGCTCTCTGCTATGCCTGGAGCAGTTTCCTCTGCTTCACACGGACTCAACAGGCATTCTAGACTTCAGAGTGACAATCCTGGAATCCTTCTTTTACATAGATACACCAAACCTCGCTCCAAGGTACTAATAGCGCACAAAGTGTACCGTGACTTTGAGGCAAACACAGGAAGTACTTAAGAGGCTAGGCCCTAGCCTTAGTGCGTTTCACTCAGACCTGTGGGTAAGTGAAGGTGTATTTTAATAGGGCTGGCAGAAAAGGGAATGTTGCAAATATCTGAGGGTACAGTGGCAATTTAAGGTAAAACAATAGTCGTTCCTATGTCCTATCCTGGAGGAGGACAGCCCAATAGAGGGTAGGGACTCCTTATGTGTAGTTCTAATAGCAAATAGGAGCTTGCAGGTTTCCAGGCTAGGATCAGTAAGTTGTCTCCTTGGGGCCCCTCTGTGCCAGCACTCTGCCCAGTCTCTTCTGCTTCCTCACACATCCTGCATAGATCTGAACCTGGTTGTGACATCCACCAGTCACAGTCTGTTCACATGCAGTTCCATGGCTCCTGCTGCAGACAGCTCGGTATGCAGTTCCCCAGCATTCGGCTTCCTTCCTAATCCCAGTTTGCCATGCACGGGGAGAGGGTGAGTGAACCAGGAGCACCCACCTCCTGCAGACACCCCATACTCTCTATCCCCCTAGATACACAGCACCGAGTCACTTCCATCCCCCGCCTCATGCAGGCTGCCACAATCCAGCCCCCTGCATCTCCTTGGACACCCAGCATCTACCAGTCCCTTGCCTCCCTCTAGACACCCAGCCCCCAGAGCTCCCTTCATCCCCCAGCTCCCTGCTTCTCCCAGACACCCAGCACCACTTTTCTGGCATTTACGGAGCTCTTGGCACCCATAATCCTGTCTTCTACATAGAACCTCTTGCCCAACCCTCAGCCATGCAGTACCCATAATGCTTCCACAAGCTCTCACCACCACTCCCAACACTTAACCTCCAACACTTAAACCCTGACTATATTTAAAAGGGGAAACATACAGCAAGGCATGTATTTCTGCTCCCTCAAGAGTCCTAGACCATTGTGATATCAGAGGTAATTCAACCAATCGTTACCCTTACTATACAGCTAATTTGCCTGCAACTTTTTCATTGTTGCAGAGGAGAGAAGAATGATTTAGAGCAGTGTCTCTCAACCTTCCCAGACTACTGTACCCCTTTCAGGAGTCTGATTAGTCTTGCGTACCCCCAAGTTTTACCTCAGTTAAAAAGGGGGTTGCTTACAAAACCAAACCGAAAAATACAAAGGTGTCACAGCAAGGTATTAACTGAAAAATTGCTGACTCTCATTTTTACCATGTAATAATATAAATCAATTTGAATATAAATATTGTGCTTACATTTCAGTGTCGAATATATAGAGAGCAGTATGAACAAGTCATTGTCTGTATGAAATTTTAGTTTGTACTGACTTCGCTAGTGCTTTTTGTGTAGCCTGTTGTAAAACTAGGCAAATATCTAAATGAGTTGATGTACCCCCTGGAAGACCTCTGCGTACCCCCAACGGTAAGCCTATCCCTGGTTGAGAACCACTGATTTATAAAAACCCTACCTATGAGGGGAAATAACTGGTCGTGTTCAGCCTTGAGTAAAGACGACTTGAGGCGGGGGTTAACCTTATATGTCTTTAAATATGTTAAGGGCTGTTATAAAGAGGACTGTGATCAGTTGCACTCAATGTCCACTGGAGGTAGGACCGGAAGTAATGGGCTTAATCTGCAGCAAGGGAGATTTAGCGTAGATACTTGAAAGAACTTTCTAACTGCAAGGGTAGGTCAGCACTGGAATAGGCTTCCAAGGAAGGCTTTGGAATACTCATCACTGGAGGTTTGTAAGAACAGGTTGGACAAACCCCTGCCAGGGATGGTCAAGGTTTACTTGGTCCTGCCTCAGTCCAGGAAGCTGGGCTTTTGATGACTTCTCGAGGTCCCTTCCACTCCTACATTTCTGTGATTCTATCTGCAGTAGAACATTCACAATTGTCCTTGTCCACAAAAGGATCTATCTTTGCATCCATGAGGAGGAAAGGTAATTGGTAGTCTTGAAGCCTGTATTCACTTTAGTTAAAATCTTTAACATTAAATTTTAAAACTCCAATTAACTGCTTCTGTAGCTGTCCTAATGTTTATCATGTCTGTCAAATAAGAATC